GAGGAAGGGACAGAGCTGCCCTGCCGCCCACCCCAGACTGGCTCCCCAGGCCCTCCTCAGAGGCTCCAGGTGGGAACTCATGACTCCGCTCTACCAGGGCCTCGGGCCAGCACTGGGGTCCCCGCCATCCTTCCCGCCAAACCCAGAGGAAGGCCATGGGCTCTGCCCTCGCGCCATCCTCAGAACCCGCCCACTTCTCACCCCTCCTCGCTCCACCTGAACTGGTGTGGCCTCACGTTTCACCGTCCCAAGCCTTCCAGAAGTTCCCTTCCAGCTCAGGAAAAAAAAAAAAAAGCCGAGTTCAAGGTCCTTTGCCATCGCAGAATCCCTCCCAAGCGCCTCTCCTTCTCACTGTTCCTTAAATTTAGGCTTCCTCCAGCCCCAGGGCCTCACCGGCTGCCCCCTCCCCACTCCTCAGCTAGACCCATCCTGGGCACTCTCTTCCTCTCGTTTCAAGGGACACAACTCTGGTTTTTTTGCCCACCGTACTTTCTCACCTCGGCAGCCCTTCTTTTAAAAAAATGTTAATTTACCAATCTGATGAGTCTCTGCTGGCTAGAACACGAGCTTCTGCCTTCAGAGCAGGAACCTTTGTTTTATTCTCAGCTGTGTCCCCCACACCAGGCAAATGGCAGGCAGTCAATAAATACTTGTCAAACTAATGAATGCATGACCGTGGGTAAGTGACCTCTTCCTGGGAACCTGGTTTGTGGCCTGTTAACTGAGGGATGCTGCCTGCCCAGTGGCCAGAGGGCAGGTGCTGGGTCCCGCCCTCCGCCCTCCGGAAGCACTGGAGGGCCCCTTTGGAAACAGACTTGTTCAGGTGCTGGCAGGTAAGGGGACAGCGGAACCTTGAACAAGGTTTGTGAGAGCCCCTTTCACATCCTGTGTGGTTCAGAGTTCGGGTTCTGGAGAAGGCCACACACAAATGAAAAGGGACTAGAAAAGCATTAATTTGGGAATATTGGGGGCCAGGCGGGAGTCCTAAGCCTGGCTTTGGCCTTGCCATTGCTTTCATTCAGGTTTGGGTGATACACCCACTGCCGTTAGGCAGGTAATTCCAGTGACAGGCAATTATCTTATCAGTAAGGATTGACATGATTATTTGGTGGGGAAATTGCCTCAGTTACCAGTCTTAATTAGATAGGGAGTGGTTGGCTCAAGCCTTTCAGAGCTTCAGGGTGACCAGCCTTCCCAGTTCCTTGTCCTTCCTAATTAGCGAGACAGTGGTCGGTTTCGGCAGGACTTCCCTTAGGGAGGAGTGACTAGGGTCCCAGGGTAGTAGGCAGAAGGGAAAGGGTTGCCTGAGGTGTATTTTTTTTTTTTTTTTTTTACAACGGATGTGTGCGAGTATTTAGAAATTAACTGCAAACTATTTTAAGCATCCAGATGATTCTGAAGAAGCCCACCTACTTCCCCTGAGAGCCAGGTGTCGAGGGCCCTAGTGCCCGAAGGGTAGCCCGCGGTGCTTCAGCGTTCCTGGGAACTCATTAGACATGCAAATTTCCAGCCCAGCGAACCTACTGGATCTGAAACGTGGGAGGGGAGGGTCATGGCGCCCAGTCACCCGCTTTAATACGCTGTGCCTAGCACAGATTCTCTGACTAAGGCACACAGGAACCCCCTGGGTGTCTTGCTAAAATGCAGCCTCTGTGGCAGTGGGTCTGGGGTTCCCACATGAAAGTACCTGGGAGGTGGGGTTTCTTGTGTGTCACCCACAAACTCCCCAGATTTGTTGATGCTACAGGTCCCTGGACCGCACTTTGAGTAGCAAGTCTAAGGCAGTGGTCAGGCCGTTTCCTAGGTGCACAGCCATACCCAATCGCTGACCAACTCCGAGGCACAAACTATTCACTACCCGGACCTTTGTGGAAGAAGTGTGCTAGCCCTGGCCCAGAAGAGTCTCTGAGCCCATCCCCTTCCTCCCCTCACCTCCACACCTCTGCAGCCATAGTTAGCCTCCAATTGTGATTCCAAAATTGAACCGCAACTCCGCCTTCCAGCGGCTCCTTCTGCCTGGCTACCTCCCACTGTCCCTGGACTCCCCAGCCCCATCTGAAAGCCCAAGCTGGGTCCAACCCGGCCCTCCCCCTGGTATACACAGCCTGGACCTTGGCCTCCCGCAGACTGGGGCAGGGATCTGGGTCCTGCTGAGCGCATCTGGGAGGCACCCACACAAGACAAGACCCGCTGGGGAGGGGTGCGCTCACATCCTTTATTTCCCGCGGGGTCAGCGGCCCTCCAGGGCCCGGTCTCGGGCAATGACAGCCTCCTCAAACTTGATCATGAGCGTGGTGCCCTTGTGCCAGTGCGCCGTGACCTTGGCGGGGAAGCCGCTGTGCGTGAGCACCGCCTCCACGATGCCCGCGGTGAAGCTGGCGCAGTTGAGCGTGCTGTTCTCCTTGGGCACCGAGATGTAGGTGTTGATGAGCGGCTCCCGCTCGATGATGTAGAAGGTGCGCGCGTCGTCGTTGGCCTGCTCCAGCTTGTCGGCCTCCTTGCCGAAGAGCGCCTTCCACACGGCGCCCTTGACGAAGAGCAGGGCGCCCAGCACCTTGGTCTCGCGCCGGGCGCCCTTCTCGCGGGCCACCAGCGCGTCCAGCACGCGCGCGCCCACCTGGCGGCCCAGCGCGGCCAGGCGCGCCTGCAGCTCGGCCACGGAGAAGACGCGGCTCTGGCAGTGCTGCACCAGCTCCGAGAAGAGCAGCGCGAAGGCGCCCAGGCTCACCTCCGTGCGGGGCCGCGCCAGCGCGCGCTCCAGCAGCGCCGACTTCCCCCGCGTGAAGCGCGCCTCCATGCCGCCGCCTGCGGAGACCGGCGGGTCAGGGCTGCGGGAGCCCGGGCGCCCTCCCCCTCCTCCCCCCCCGCCCCCGTGCTGCCGCGGACCTCCCCCCGGGGAGAGACAGGGGAGGGAAGGGGCGTTCGCCGGGGCGTAAATCTTGTCTCCGGGACCCTCATCCAGAGGACAAATGGGGGCAGAGAGGGCTAAGGGCATGGGTAAGGGTAAGGGGAGGGGATAAAGGTGGGGATAAAAGAAACCCCGCCTCCCAGGTAACTTCTGGTGCGTGAAAAGCTCCTCTGCATCCCTCCGCGGGGAGGCCAGACCTAGGGCTGGGGGGGGGGGGGGGGGGGAGACCAGGAAGGGCGGGGACAGAGAGCAGCCTCCAGGGGACAAGGATGGGCCTGCATCTGTAAGGAAGCCGGGGGTGGGGGAGAGAAGTTGGGAGCCCTTCACCCCCGTGCTCTCCAGAAAAGTGATGGGACCGCGGGAGGAGGCTGACCTTAGACCCGCGGTTTAAGGGAGCCCCAAGGGGGCGCTCTGATCCTCCATCCCGGCGCTCGGAGCTCGGCCGTCGGCGGGGGAGGGGTCCTACGGGAGAAAACCCCGAGGGCCTGCTGAGACCCCCGCGGTGGCTGTGCGGTGGGCGTGGGGGACCCCAAGGCGCCGAGGCACCCTCTCTCCTCCTCCACCCTCGCCCACTCCGGTGGGAAGCCGCCCAGGGTGAGGTCGGAGGGAGAGCTGGGAACCCAGCCCCCACCGGCGGGACGGGCCGAGGCCGGCAGGACTGGGGCGCCGAGACGCCCCGACAGGCCTGCGTGGGGGATGGAAGGCCAGAGGGCCCGCCGCTGAGGGCGGGGGAGGCCCAGCAGCAGGACGGGCGCCGCGCTGACACCCGCTATGCGCGGCCAGGGGTGGCGGCGGGGCCGCCCAGGCAGGCCCGGGCCCGGCGCGGCGGGCGGGGCGGGCCGCGGGGCCCTCACACCCTCCAGCGCCCACTGGGGGGGCCGGCGGCGGGGCCACGGCCCGCAGGGTGGAGGGGGAGCCCCCGGGGCCGGGGGCCGGGGCCGGGGCCGGAGGCCGGGGGCCGGGGGCCGGGGCCGCGGGCGGGCGAGGTCTCACCGGGATCCGCGGCCCTGGCTCGCCGAGCTGCTTTACGGCGTCGTAAACGGCCCGTGTGCGCAGGCGCGGCGGCGGGCGGGCCGCGGTTCCCCAGACCCGCCGCTCGGGGGCGCGCGTGTCCCGGAGGCGTCCGGGGGGGGGCCCCGCGGTCAGGGGAACCGCGGCACCGAGGGTCACGTGCTCTGGTGCACGTTTGGCGAAGGGCACGCGTCTCTGTCTCTGGGCACCTGTGTACCCATGTACCCCTCAGGCCACACTCCTGGGGACACGGTCCTGGGACGGGGACCCACTCCAGACGTCATTCTCACCCGCCCGCCTGTCTCTCTTCCCCCCCATTCCCCCGTTTCTGGCCTACGCCCCCCTGTTCACAGTGTGGTTTTCCCCACCCCAAGTCCAAACGCTTGCAGAACCTCCCCAAAGCCCCCAGTCGCCCCAATAACAGATCTGAAAGCCACATTGTCTTCTCTTGGCCTTTACTTCCACGAATCACAAAATGTGAGTTCAGAAACAGACACACGTGTGTCCGTGCTCCCAGCACCCTGGTGACAAGCAGGCGCACTCACATGGACACACGTGGTTCTCGGGGGCACAGGGAGTGAGAGGGCACACACCGTGACACCCGCATTCCCACGGTGTGCTTCCACACACTGCCCCCGGGACACGTTTATACACACAACATGCTGCAGGACATTCACGCATAGTCACACCAACAGTGAAACATGCATGGGTAGCACGTGTTACCAACACCCACACTCACTGCGACACACTTTTGTGCTCCCTGCTGACACAGCTACCCACGGTGGTGTGCACGACACCACACGCTATGATACACACAAGGATGGGCCTGGACAGTGACAGGTGCACTCACACCCTCTGTGACTCCCACATTCAACGTTCACCCAACACTAGCCCTCCGTGAGATGCTTACCCCACACACATCACATACACACATGCACACACGCAACTCCACAACACTCATTCACCATGACACATGACTTGATATGTGGGGATGAGCAGGTTCAGACAAGGCTGGCCCCCATGTGTCATATATCCTGGGAGGTGCCACCCTGTCCTCCGAGCTGCTCCCGTGTCGTCTTGGTCACTGAGGTGTGGGCTGTGTGGGCTCTGTGAGGAAGGGAGGTGGAGGTCCGAGATCAGGCAGGTGCCCCCGGGGGAGAAGTTAGGGTCACATCTCCCCTGCCCCAGCTTACGTTGACTTTGCATTTTCTGCAGGATCGACATGATTTGCTGTGACTGAGTCTTGATTCGGCTTACATCTGGGGGTGGGAGGAGACAGGAGAAAACTGGGGTGGAGCCTCGGACAAGGCCCCCTCCTTGCCCAAACCCCAGGCAGGGTGCTGCAGAGCCCTGCACTTGGGTTCCCAGCAGCATTTAAATACCTACATTACTAAAAGGTGCACCCATTAGCCCTCCGGACCCTGCGCTCTGGGAGGGAGGGCCTCTGCTGTCCCCGCGCCAGACTCCCCCTCGCACCACGTTCCCCGAGTGAGGTCACAGGGCACCACCTTCCGCCAGCTTCTTCAGCTTCTCGTTCCAAGCCTGGACGTTGCGGTTGGCCAAGTCGATGCGCTGCTTGGCGTTGCTGATACTTTGCTCGACGCTTCTCCAGCCCTGCCTCTGCCCCTCCTCGCATTCCCGCGCGGAGATGGAGACTGCATCCCACATATCAAGTCAAGTCCAGGAGCTGCACTCTCCACCCCACCCGACCCCAGGGCTCCCCCAGAGCCTCCCCTCACCATTCCAGATCTCCCTTTTCAAGACCAGCAGCTCCTGAGACATCTCAGAATCTGTTCAGGGGAGAGGAGGGGAGGAGAGGGGAAGGGAGGGGAAGGGAGGGGAAGGGAGGGGAGAGGAGGAAAACACTCGAATTGCCCCAGTTCTGCAGCCCTGGGAGCAGGGGGAGGGGGGCGGGAAAGGGACTAGGGGAAAGGGGACAGTGGGAACACTGGGGGACCCCTCCACACTGTCCCGTCCACACCCCCCACCAATGGAAAGCCCACTCACTCTTCACCAGAACCAAGACCAGCAGGATGATGGAAATCAGGGCAAGAAGGATGTACAGGCTTGTGAAGGCTCGGTGCAACCACCGGGGGCCCTGGGCAGAGTCCGAGGGTGGCCTGGCCCGGGCTGGGACTGGGACAGAGGCAGGGCAGGTGACTCCAGGGTTCAACTATTGGTACTGATTCCAACACCATAATAGCTCTGTCCCCTCACCACTCTTCCCAATGCCATTAGCAGCTGTGACATCAACAACACTGCCACCAACATGCACCCTGACCTGCACCACCAGCACCGTCTGAGCCCACTCCCATCCCTCCTCCCATCCCTCCTCCATCTCCATCACCAACAATTGCCAGTATCAGCAGTAACTGTCAGCAGCCACCAGCATCAATGCTCACTGTTGTCGGCATTGTCCCTCATCAACTCTGTCTGGGTGATTCCTTCCTGGTCCACTACATTGTCACCTATCCACCAAACCTTCACGTCCCCCTACACAATCAGCACCATGACCACCTACAGAGCTGCCCCCACCACTGTCCCACAAGCCCCGACGTAACCACACCCTTCCCCACTGATCCTGCCCTCCAGTGCTGCCCTCTGTCCCCGCAACGCCTCCCACAGGCCCTCCCGTGGGGTGCGGGCTGCAGGGCTGCTTACCCTTACTCTTTGGGGGTGAGTGACTGCCCTTTGGATGGTCCTGTTTCCTTAAGGTCACGGTGATATTCTCATAGTTGGGGTCATCTACAGCTGTGGGGTCAGTGGGAAGGGTTTGGAAACCTTCTTGGAGCTTTGGGAGAGGGATGGGAGGGGGGCTCACCAAACCCCTGCACATGACACATTTCTGGGGATCAAAGTGAACCAAGATTCGCTTCTTGGTTAGAGAAGAGGGTGGGTCACACATTCACATCTTTTGGGGAGGGGAAGAAGCCCTTTGACCCCCACTCTCAGCTCCTACCATTCCATCCCAACCTCTCCCTCCTGGCTCCCGCCCCCTGCCAAGGTGCCTGACCTGCGCTATGGGCTGGTGTCCCCCGCTGCTTGTCTTTGAAGGCTGCGGCCTGCATACCGACCTCCTGGTTTATGTAGATTTCCTCAGACTCCATGGTTCCTAGTCTACCAGTCTGTCCGCACACACCCCGCCCACCGGAAGGTGTCTCGTCAGAAGAGGAAATCTCGGGTTTGGGGTCTGGGGGCGGGAGGAGAGGCCAGCCTCCTAACTTCGGGGATCCAGAGCCTCCCACCCTGGGGCACCCTCGTACCCCCCAGGTCAAGATGGGTCTTAGGAGGCCAGGGGTCTCAGGAAGGACGGAAAAGAAGCAGTGGACCTGGAGGCAGGCCAGCACTGTCCGGAACTAGTGAAAGAGGCGTTGGCTAATGCTACAGGCATCATTTTGAAATCTATCAAATCAACACATTGTACACTGTAAATCTGTATAACGTGATGTGACAATTACCCTATATAATAAAAGTGTAATATTATATTACAGATGTCCTTCCAGACAAAGCTGGGGCTGCAAGGGCCAAGGCAGAGGCGGCTGCTGCCACGGGGGCCAAGGCCCTTGCACAAATTTTGTGCACAGGACCTCTAGTATTAACTAAAATAAGGTTTTCTAAACGAACAGGAACTTTACAGGAAGCTGTGAGTGTGTGTGTGTGTGTGTGTGTGTGTGTGTGTGTGTGTGTCTATCTATCTGGATGAACCTCATCCTCCTGTCTCCTTTCTCTCAAGACAGAAGCTGTGGCCCCTCAGAGTCCCACCTTTTAGGGGTAGGGGTTACGGTCTCAGAGGCAGGATTCCTGAGTCCCCATGCCTTCCTTCCTGCTTTCCTCCTGCCGCAATGCATCCCTCCACTCCTCTCCGAGAAATGCTGCTTCATCAAGGCCCCTGGAGGAAAGGAACAGATCTGATGCAACGGTGCTAACCACCGGCCGTGCTAACCACCGGCACTTCACCTCCCATCTGCAACTGAGGCAGGTCCACACCTTGACCGTCCCTGGAACCACTTTCCCTCCACCCAGAGACCCACTCAAAAACTCAAAGGCACACTCATTCAGACTTCTGCTCACCAGACTCACACACACACACACACACACACACACACACACTTGTACACATACTCCCAAATATCCGCAGTCACATATACTCAGAGCACACCCATTCACACGCTTCCACACGTGTTCACAGAGAAATATACATACGCATGCATTCACATGCCTCCACTCTGTTTAGGTGTCTTAAAACCCTCTTTGTGTCTATCTGACCTTGAAAATGGGGAATAAAAATGAGATGATGTGTGCAGGGAATTTTCTCTGTAAGTCTAGTGCCTTCCAAGAGAAATATAATATGAACCACATTTTTATTTAAAAGGTTCTAACAGCCAAGACCGGTTTGGCTCAATGGATAGAGTGTCAGCTTGGGGACTGAAAGGTCCCAGGTTCGATTCTGGTCAAGGGCATGTGCTTTGGTTGCAGGCACATCCCCAAGAGGGGGTGTGCAAGAGGCAGCTGATTGATGTCTATCTCTCATCGATGTTTCTAACTCTCTCTCTCCCTTCCTCTTTGTACAAAATCAATAAAATATATTTTAAAAATAAATAAATAAAAATAAAAGGTTCTAACAGCCATATTAAAAAGATAAAAAAAAAAGAGAGAGAGAGACAGGCTAAATTGACTTTTATAATATTTTATTTAACATAATATACCCAAAATATCCCTTCAATGTATAGGTGTTATTGTAATATTATTGATATTCTAGAGGCCTGGTGCATGAAAATTCATGCATTGGAGAGGGGGTCCCTCCGCCCAGCCTGCCCCCTCTAACAGTCTGGGAATCCTCTGGGGCAGGAGGTGACCAGGTGATCAGAGGAAGGCAATGCCTCATCACAATTCTGCTGCTGCCACTACCGGCAATGCAAGCCTCAGCTGGCCCTGGTTACCTGAGCCTCAGGCAGCCCTGGCTGGCTGGACAGCTGCCATCTGAGGCGTGCCTGCCCCTTGGGCTGGCCCTGGACGGCTGGTGGGGCTGAGGAGGTTGGGGGACTCTGGAGGCAGGTGTGCAGAGCCACCATGCACCTGCTACCTCAGCAGGGCTGAGGGCACTGCCATCTTTGAAAGTGGGGCAGTCAATTAGCATATTCTCCCCTTATTGGCTGTGGGCACTGCCATGTTTGCAACATCGTGAGGGTCAATTAGCATATTCCCTTTTTATTAGACTGGAGGATGTTGCCTTTTGGGAAGTACTAAGTCTTCGAAATCAAATGTGTGTTTACACATAAGGTGCCTTTCCATTTAAAGGGCCACATTTCAGCTGCTTAATGGCTGCGTGTCAGACACCACTAGTCTAGTGTGTTAGAGGTTTCTCTCTTTGGAAAAATGTAAGGTTTTCTGACAATGTGCAGGAAGTGTGATGTTCTCTGTTTAAAATACGTGATTAAATTCGAGAGAGCTTTGGAATGGTCCCCACGATCTGGTGAGGATCTCCTCCCTAAACTGCTGCCAACCTTGAAGATCGACTTAGCGGAGGTGAAACGCCAGCTTCTTGCTGGTGGCAGAGAGCCACCATTGAGCAATCCGCGCCCCCTTGTGATATAACTAGTAGCCCTGTGCACAAATCTGGCGCCAGTAGCTCGCTGCCACCCTGCTGTAGCTTCTACCGCCCCCCTCATAGCTTGCTGCTCTGCCCCCTCCTGTTGTTCTCCCCCACCCACTTGAAGCTCATTGCCCCACCCTCCTGCTGATCCATGGTCTGGTCGTTACCTGGTCAGTGGTTACGCTTCATGACATAAAGGCCATTTGCATATTACATCTTTATTAGATAGGAAGCCACAGAGGAGACAGACAAAGGGAGAGCTGGCTGTGCCTGAAGGACAGGTGCGGGGGTAGGGCCACAGACTTGCACAGACCTGGCTCAGGTGGCCTCAGGCTGCTCAGCCCTCTGGAAGTGAGAAGAAGCGGCTGTGATTGGAAACCCCCCAATCATGCCACGGTGGCTTGAGAGGGCTCCGTGAGGTTGCCTGACCAGCCTCTTTCATGGTTATAACAGTTTTCTTTTTCTTAAAGAAAGAAAACGTGTCATAATCAGGGATTGGTTTAAGGTGGGCACATGATCCAGGCCCAGCCAATCAGAGTCTAAGATTTGGCACAAGGGCAGACAAATGAGTCTGACTCCACCAATGAAACTCAGACCTGGAACTTTGTTGGGTTATCCAAGAAATAAAGGTACCCGCTCTCCTCCCCCCCCCCCCCCCCCCGCCCGCCTCCCTCCACTCCCCGGGGCTGTCACACTGGGAGATGTAAGCCTAAAGCTGTGCAGGGGAGGACCTGGTTGAGACCACACTGAGGAAAGCAGACACTAGAGGGAGTTGAGTGCTGGAGACATTGTTTGAGTCCCTGGGTTGACCTTACCTGAACCAGTTGCTCTAACCCTGGGCCTCTCGGTTACATAATCCAGAGCCTTCCTTCTTTTGCTCAAGTTAGGAGAGCTTGCAACAGGAAGGATCTTGACTACCTCAGGGGGCTGGGCCGTTGGTGGATGAAACAATAGAGGCTCAAGAATGGGGCTCGCCAGGCCAAGGTCACAGGGAGTAAGATGTGACCCCAGGTCTTCACTCTGGGGAAGGAGGGTGACTGTGATGGAATTTAGGGCTCTGAGGGGAACCTTCTTGTCCAATTACAGGGGACAGCTGGGTGGGACTTGGAGAAAAGGCATCAGGGCCCCGCCCACAAGTCAGTGAGGGAGACACAAACGCCAGATTCACTTCTCTAGTCTCAGTGGTCTCACCCAACCCCCGGGCCACCGTGGGGTTAGAGGAAGGACCTGAGAGGGGAATCCCTGGGTTGGGATTAAGTGGGCTCCGTGGGCACCAGCGGTGTGTGTGACCTGAGCTCATGGCCCGCAGGGTCAGACAGGGGAGGGGGTGGCAGTGGAAGGAGAATCCCAGGCATCCTGAAAGCCAGGTCCCCACCCATCACCCATGCTCCTGGAGCGTGCCGCAGGGGCTGTGACTTTTGAGTCTGGATTCCTTTAAAGACGGCACCAAGGGTTCTAAAATGTGCTTCTCTCAGGGGCTGGAATATAAAACTGTAACAGGCACCTCTCACCGACACCAGAGAGGTGTCACTAGAAAGCCCCTGAGTCAATGGGAGAGGGCTGTCCCCAGCCTCGATCCTTATCTCCTTTTTTTAATATATATGTAAATATATACATATTAAAAATATAATATATATATTTATATAATATATATATGACCTAATAATAGAGAAACATGTAAATTCACCTTACCTTTGCTATGCTTACAGCCAATCAGAGTGACTATGCAAATTAACCCAACAAAGGTGGCAGTTAATTTGCATACATACCTGGATCCGGGAACCTCGGCACCCAGGTCACTCCCAGCCGCCATCAGGCAGAGGCTTCAGGCTTAGGAAGGGCCGAGCCTGCGATAGGAGGTGCGGGGAGGGAGGGGCCTTCCCTAAGTCTAAACCTGGAGCGGAGGCTTTTGGCTTAGGGAGGTGCCAGGGGCCCCCTTCCCAAGCCTACAGCCTGGGGCGGAGACTTTAGGCTTGGGAAGGGGCTGAGCCTGGGATCGGAGGGAAGGGGAAAATATCAATGGAAACACACCCTTAGGTGAGGATTTAAAAAAATAAAGAAAGAAATGCATATCCTATGAAAGACACATCTTGAAAATGCCTAAAGAAGGTTGTCAGTTTTTCATGGTGAAGGGACTGGAGTCCCTGTTGATGAAAATACCTTGGTGGCTGCAGTGGCTGGCAGTGGCTGCAGCAGCAGGGTGATAGGGCTGGTGCCTTCCCCTGATCAGCCCGGTCGCCTCAAGCAAAGGGAGGCCAGACTGCGGCTTAGGTCCACTTCCAATGGACATCTCCTGAGGGCTCCCAGTATGTGAGAGGGAGCAGACTGGGCTGAGGGACCCCTCTCCAGTGCACGAATTTCGTGCACTGGGCTCCTAGTATACATAATTGATTTCAGAGAGGAAGGGAGAGGGAGAGAGAGATAGAAACATCAATGATGAGAGAGAATCAATGATTGGCTGCCTCTTGCACACCTCCTCACTGGGGATCAAGTCTGCAACCCAGGCATGTGCCC